TGCCCTGCCCTGTAACTTGTAGCCCATAGCTCTCTCGGCCCTTAAGTTGTGGAAACCACAAGCTCCGAAGAGTTCTCAAGATTATGCTCCACGCAGTGTTTGATGTCACTAATTGCATAAATGAATACATTTCCCAGATCGAGTTCGAGCCAAGTACTCGAGTGTTGTTGTACATATGTTTGAGTGTCCATTGCTAGGTTCGTTAATTAGTCCGTCATCTTGTTGTACTCTCAGACGCGATGTTGCCACGTGACGACATTGAGTTGATCGCCGAGTTGTCGACTCTGCCATAAGAGGGAGCGTAGATGTTGAACCATTGGTGTGGTCCTCGTTCGTTGCTGCCTTAGTATAATGTTGCTGTCTTCCACAACATGAAGTGGGTACCAGACATGGCAGAGGCATGCGCGTATCCCCATCGAAAGACCCATATACTCCGCAAGATTGTTAGCTGTTGTGGTGGACGCGTACGACATGCTGATCACTCAGCAGATGTCATGGCCAACAAGAGAGCTGCCAACACGTACCCCGCTGCACTACTGCCTCCCGGTCCAGGATTTCCCCGGGACCCTCCGTCGAAGAATAAAATAAAGCGCTCACTCCCTCGTGGGGGAAATCAGTAGGGGAGGCCCAAATGGAGGTGAGGACACGTCTGAGCACCTGCGCAGCCATGTCCGGAGTGCCAGGTCGATCAGCCTCAGCCAGATGCGAATGCACAGTGTCGTAGTTTCGCTGCCTGGTATTCTGGTGTCAGATTGTTCGCTGGATCATAGTACGCTAACCTCCATCTCCATACTGCATGGAAGTAGAGCGCCGCTCCGATCCTCCAGCAGCTTTCTGCGATGGTGGAAACAGACTCCGTGACCTGATCAACCTCAGCCTGAATGAGGTGGGGGAGCAAGTTCTCGACTATATCCCAAATCCCTGCTGGAATCTGAGGTAGTTCGAGCCCAAAAGATGCGGCTCCTTGGCCTCCAGCTTTAAACCCATAGTAGTCCATCGACCAAAAAAAACTTTCGAAGTCGTCGCATCTCAGGACACGTCCAAAAGATGTGATGGAGGTTGATGGATTTCTGACTGATACAGCTTCGCTGTGGACATCCCACTTGCCCTCGGCTGCTGTCGTAAGTTGAGAAGGCATGCAGTTTGAGCCGGAGCAGGATCTGTTCCCTCCACGGCCTTATCCCAACAACACGCTGTACGCGCTTCCACTCAAGTCTAGAGAAACCTTCAGCTGCACGCAAACTTAGTTTGTTCCACCTATCCGACCTTTTAGCAAGCTTTAGAGAGTCACGCCGTATTGAGCTTGCACCAACCATATCCCGGTAGTGGCGTCGTAATAGCACCCATCGTCG